AACTGAATCCTTAAGAGTGAACCTAGGTGGAGTTGTTGGGTCCAGAGGATTGAGGAGGAAAGGGAAGCAAATCGAAGTAAAGATACCCTCAGATTGCAAGTGGAGGCTTTTGGGAGCTGAGGTAGATGTCTGTGGTCTTAGCGATTTTTCAGATCACCAGGGGAGTGGCTTTCCCAACTCCCAACTCAATCTCACTTTGAGACTAGTTAGACTCCAGCTCTTAGGGCTACAGAGGGAGGAAGAGACCCTGGGTTTTCCTAGGACAACCTGAACATCTAGGGATCAACAAGAGGGCTGCAAGGCAGCTGGATTCCATCTACACAGGGAGGAGTGGGTCTCAAATTTAGAATTAGGTGGGCCAGACCAAAGTCAGTTTCAAGTGACTTCATAGTCTTGTGCAGACTACCTGGGCCGTGGTTATAACTGGTTGCCAGTTATGAGGACAGGGTGCATGTCACCTGCTTTCCTTGGCAGCACTCTGGAATCTCATAACCCTCAGCTCCTATTGCATGTCCCTAGAGTAATCCTCCTCTCTTTGGTGGGACAGGCTGGGGCAGTGAGACAGATGTTCCCCCTTACCAAAGGAGCCTTTGACTTTCCTTCAGACATGGAATCACCAGGCACCATCTTGGGGAAGGTTGGGCAGCTTTCTCCTGCCCCCCGGGCTTCCATCATCTCCCTATCTTCTGTTGCCATCCAGATAACCACGATGCTGCCAATTGGGGCCAAAGAACATCTTTTGGGGCACTAACATTTGGCTTCATTGGATTCTCCAACCTGGCCACCATCACAATCCCGTGTCCTCATAATAACTCACATTCTACCAGTTGCTAGGGCCCCTTTGGTAGAGGGCGTGCCTCCTTTGACATACCATTTTTAAGAACTGCAGAGTGGGTCTTTCTTGCCCTTAAGAACTGCTTTGAAAACTATAGTTCCACTACTTCAAATCCATTCTCTTGAGTTTCTCTTTGAAATGTATATTATATTGGGATGAGTAATAGTTTAATTTTGATTAAGGTCCTAACCCCAACTCCCTCAGAATGTGATCTTTGGAGATAGTGACTTTATAGAGGTAATTAAGGTAAAATGAGGTCATTAGGGTGGATCCTAGTCCAATAGGGTGTCAAGAGGAAATTTGGACCAGGGATGTACCGAGGGAAGATGATGTGAAGACAGGGGAGGAGACCATCATCTACAAAGCAAGAGGAGTGGCATTAAAGTAGTCAGGGTTCCCCAGAGAAATGTAACCAATGACATACAGTGAGATTTATTATAAGGAATTGGCTCTTGCAATTATGGAGGCTAAATCCCCTAATTCTGTCTATAAACCAAAACCCAGGAAAGCTGGTGGTATGAATTCCAGTCTCAGACCAAAGGCCTGAGAACCAAGAGCATCATTGATGTAAGAGTCTCATTTCCTGCAGTCAGGCAGAGAGACCCACTTCAACCTTGCTCTGTGTTTTGTCATATTCGTGCCTTCATGTATTAGATGAAGTCCACTCACTCTGAGAAGGCAATCTACTAAGTCTGCAGATTTGAATGCTCATCTCCTCCAGAAACACCCTCACAGACTTGCTTTGAAATAATGTTTAATCAGATATCTGGTAATCCCTCTGCCCAGTCAAATTGACACAAAATTAACCATCACTGAAACACGTTGGAACAAGTCATTCTCTTGTGGCTCTCAGAAGAAGCCAACCCTGTTAAACACCTTGATTTCAGATACCTAGCTTTCAGAACTTGAAGAAAATACATTTCTGTTGTTTAAGCCACATGGTCTGTAGTACTTAGTTATAGTGGCCCTAGAAAACCAATGCAATCTACTACTCATATACCCAGGTGAGTAGAATGAATCAAACGGGAGCAACAAAGAGTGGAGGGCTGGGAAGTACACTTTGTCATCTCTTGTTTTGTGAAAACCATAACAAAACATTTTTGGTAGTTGGAGGCAGCATTGTATAATGGTTTAAATTCTAGCATTGCTACCCTCTCTAGTTGTGACCAACAGAAAATTATTTTACCTGAGGCTTGATGTACACATTTGTAAATGGGATAATGATTTAGCCACCTCCCTACATTGCAGCACTGACATGAAAATAAATGTGGTTAGCCTACCCCTGGCCCATACAGGGACTAAACAAATGGTAACTTTTATTATTATTATAAGGGGTGGGTTTTTCTCTGGAGAAAAGGATGTGCTTAAGATTTATCTTCTGGGGTCAGACAGTGGTACACCAGTAGAATACTACACTCTGTGAAGCTGACCCACATGGAAAGGTTGCCTGCTCAAGTACAGAACCTCCCTGAGAATGCTGGATGTGTTTTGCCCATGATCTGGGACTGGCTGAGGGTGGGTTAAGGTGACAGGGTGCTATCTCTCTTTCTTGTACATGAAGGAAGCAAACTTTTTCTTTTTTTTTTTTTTTTTTTCTTTTTTTTTTTTTTTTTTTTTTTTTTT